TCCCTTTCTCCCTTTCTCCCTCCCCAGCCGCTTCGGGAAGAGATTTATTTCTCTGAGAAAAGTGGAAAAATGATTTATTTTTTATTATTTAAAACCTGTTTATTTCACAGGCACAGCAGCACCCAGCACCAAAATGAACAATACGGAATTCCAGAAGCTCTCAGAGCTCTGAAGAGGTGACAGATTCCGAGGGTCTCTTTCCTGTGGGTGTTTGCTTTGTTTTAAATCCCTCTGGAGCTGGAAAATGCCGCTGCCCAGGCTGGGATCCCGAAAATCCGCGGGTGCAAAATCCCGCTGCTCCCCCGAGCCCCCAGTCCAGAGCAGGCTGGATCTGTTCAAGGAAAAGGGAAAGAAAACTGTCCAGGAGATCTCTCTGCTTCAGAGAGCTGGAAATCCAAGGGGATCTGTGTCTTGCTGTCTGTGCTCTAGTCAAAAAAACTAAAAAAAAGCATATTTATTATTATTATTATTATTATTATTATTATTATTATTATTATTATTATTATTATTATTATTATTATTATTATTATTATTATTATATTAAATTAATTTTTATTATTATTTGGTAATTATTAAATTATAAATTTTATTATTATATATTTATTATTATTATAATCATTTTATAATTATTAAATTATAAATTTTATTATTATTATTATCATCATAATTTTATAATTATCAAATTATAAATTTTATTTTTATTATTATATCTTTACTTTATTATTATTATTATCATCATTATCATTTTATAATTATTAAATTATAAATTTTATTTTTATTATTATATCTTTACTTTATTATTATTATTATTAGCATCATCATTTTATAATTATTAAATTGTAAATTTTATTATTATTATTATTATATCTTTACTTTATTAATATTATTATTATTAGCATCATCATCATTTTATAATTATTAAATTATAAATTTTATTATTATTATTTCTTTATTAATATTATTATTATTAGCATCATCATTTTATAATTATTAAATTATAAATTTTATTATTATTATTATATCTTTACTTTATTATTATTATAATTTTATAATTATTAAATTATAAATGTTATGATTATTATTTCTTTACATTATTATTATTACTATTATTACATCTTTACTTTATTAATATTATTATAATAATTATATAATTATTAAATAATAATTAATATAAAAATTAATAATTAATAATAATTTAGAATTTATTATTATTATTATTATTATTATTATTATTATTATTATTATTATTATTATTATTATTATTATTATTATTATTATTAATACTTTAATTTGTATTGCCCTCAGTATTTTTAAGAACAATTTCAGTTGAGGGAAGCCTCTCCTCCCGGGTCAGCGTTTCAGCAGCTGAGTCGTGCTGGGACCCCAAGGGAAATTTGATTATCTGAATTTCCAGCTCAGCCTTTTCCCTCTCTGATAACTTTCACTTTCGGTGCTTCTCCCTCACTTTCACTTTCGGTGCTTCTCCCTCACTTTCCCTTTCGGTGCTTGTCCCTCACTTTCACTCTCAGATGAAGTTTTAAGGGTACAGAGCCGATTTCTGGGCTGGGTGATGAATGGGGATAAAATTGATCATCACAAGGACCCCAGGCCAATCCTGGTTCTGAATGAAGGCGCAGGAGCGAACACGGAGCTGGGAAGGGAAGGGAAGGTACCGGGGCGGATCTGCAATAAATGGAATTGATTGGTGCTAATTAAATTGTTATCAAAGTTATTAACGGATATTAAAATGTTATTCAAGTTATTAATTGATATTAAAATGTTATTAAAGTTATTAATTGGTGTTAAAATGTTATTCAAGTTATTAATTGATATTAAAGTGTTATTACAGTTATTATTTGATATTAAAATGTTATTCAAGTTATTAATTGATGTTAAAATGTTATTCAAGTTATTTGATGTTAAAATGTTATTCAAGTTATTAATTGATATTAAAATGTTATTCAAGTTATTAATTGTTATTAAATGCTATTAAAGTTATTATTTGATATTAAAATGTTATTCAAGTTATTAATTGATATTAAAATGTTATCCAAGTTATTAATTGTTGTTAAAATGTTATCAGTTATTAATTGTTATTAAATGCTATTAAAGTTATTATTTGATATTAAAATGTTATTCAAGTTATTAATTGATGTTAAAATGTTATTCAAGTTATTAATTGATATTAAAATGTTATTCAAGTTATTAATTGTTATTAAATGCTATTAAAGTTATTATTTGATATTAAAATGTTATTCAAGTTATTAATTGTTGTTAAAATGTTATTCAAGTTATTAATTGATATTAAAATGCGATTAAAGTTATTAATTAATATTAAAATGCTATTAAAGTTATTATTTGATATTAAAATATTAGTCAAGTTATTAATTGATGTTAAAATGTTATTCAAGTTATTAATTGTTGTTAAAATGTTATCAAAGTTATTAATTGTTATTAAATGCTATTAAAGTTATTATTTGATATTAAAATGTTATTCAAGTTATTAATTGTTATTAAATGCTATTAAAGTTATTATTTGATATTAAAATGTTATTCAAGTTATTAA